TTGTATTTAAAATAGTTGTTAAATACTTTTGTTGAAAACGGGGTAAACAATACACAATTAGTATGCTGTTTTTTGTCAAAAATAATAAAAATAAAAATAAATTAAAAGCCGGCGGGAGGTGATTGACGGATCAAAACAGCGAATCAGAGCGCACAGGCTCCGGCTCCCGAGTCCAGCGTCTGTGGTTTGGTCTCGCGGACACCACATAGAGCTGCTGTTTTTATGCTTTTGTCAGCAACTAAAAGTGTCAGGATCACGTCAACTTGAATGAAGTGTGTTATGGGTGTAAATATGTGACACACTATTTGGCCCTAAGAGGAAGAAAGCGGCTCGACTTTTTTCATCTGTTCATCTCATGGATCTATTATAAACCGGTTCATCTGCGACACTTCACTGAGACTGTTCCAGAACTACAGGGACAATGGAACTGGACTTGTGACGGATTGTCATTGTTGGAAAAAGTTTATTATGTATGAAATTACTAAGTACAGGTGATAAACGACAAAAGCGTGATGCTACGTCACCGTGCGGGCGGGGGGAGGCGGGCTCACAGGCAGAGGAGCAGACCCTTCTCTGGATCAGCTCGTTTGAGTCGAGGTGACGTCACCTCTATACAAGAGATGGCTCTAATCTCACAAGCTTTGATTGTTGTGTGGTGTATCATACACATTAATATCACACATGTGCATAGGATTGAGTGTGAAACATGAAGAAAAGCGTGATATAGGACCTTTAATAACGATAATGCTGCGAGCTAGTCAAGTTTACCATTAGCCACGTTAGCCACTCTGTTGGCAGCCTCAACTCTAAATCACTAACGTCAACACCGAGAGTTGTGATTATTTACAGTATATAACTCGTTGACTTAGGCCCCGTTTAGACGGAGACGCGGCAAAGCAATTCACAAAAACGACCAGGCTTGGTGCACAGCGTTTGGACGACGCCTGAAAACAATGTAGTTCTAGCACCCGGAGGAAACCAACGCAGACACAGGGAGAACATGCAAACTCCACTTGCTGAGAAGTTAGAGTGCTATTCATTCAGCCATCGTGGCCTTGGCAGTATTATGGAATATTAAAGACTGCAAACTTTGCAAGGTCATCGTCCCTACCAAGTCTGGGACCACGACAAATATATTTATTTTGTTTTTAAAAAAATGAATCAATAATTATTAACATCGACTGAAATTAAACACTTTTAGTGTGATATAGTTTTCAGCCATACCCCCAACCGTACTTTAAAACAGCTCTGTTTATGTACAAGTCTTTCCATGGCCTCGCCCAAAGTACATCTGACATAATAGTCCCATATGAACCAAGAAGGACTCTGAGGAGCACAGGGACTGGCCTCCTGCTGCTGCCCAGAGTCAGGACTAAACATGGGGAGGCAGCATTTCAGTTTCATGCATCTAAAATCTGCATGCCCTATGCATGCTCATCAGTCCATCCATGAGTAAAGACTTGAAGATAGGGCTGGGCGATATGGCTGAAAACGATATCCCAACATAAGTGATTCATATTGGTCAATATCGATTATTATTGATCGTTTAAAAAAAAACCTTAATAAACACATTTGTCGTGTCGACTCACACACATTAGCAGCAGATATTTACAGTCACAAGGAAATGAGAACTCGGGCTGGAGACAAAAAAAATATCTCTAGCTTTTGCAGCCTGCATCGAGTCCCGGTACACACTGCCTCTGCTGCACCACACATGCTATCCCTCGCAGGGACGTGCATATCCATTGACACGTCATTGAAACACTACAATCCACAGACGCAACACATTGTCCACTTGTTGATTGTGGGTTGTTCTTTTTTTGCATTTCCCAGAATGCTTTGCAGTTCATGCTCTGCTGTGATCAAGCCCCAGCAATCCAAGATGGCACCATATTCAAATGAATGGTTTGTGCTCAGTGGCACATGTGGCGTAAGCGGACTCACCCATATTTGGGCATCGTATTGGATGCTTTGCACCAAATACACGTGTGTGGCTCTCATGCCACACAAGTGTATGCACGTGGGGCTTGGCCGCGCTCTGACCAATCAGCACTGCTGATTTATTTTATTTTATTGTTTATTTGGTTGGGACAGTACATGTTAATGAACACATCACTCCAGATTGTAGCCATGGGCTAATTTCCATCCGTTGTCCCACATTCACACTCACAAACACACATCCATTCACCCTGAACTATTGCACATGTTTTTAATGGTAGAAGAAACCAGAGCACCCAGAAGAAACCTACACAGACACAGGAAGAACATGCAATCTTGACTCAGAAAGGCCCTGTTCCGATCAGGGTTCAAACCCAGAAACTTCTTGCTGAGAGGGCGAGAGGGCTATCCACTCAACCAACTGATCAGAGCAGTGTTGGGAAGGAGCCAGAGCGGAAAGGAAATGAGCAGAGATAGTGGCAGTAAAGTGGATTTAAAGAAAACTGAAGGATTTCAGAGGAAAAAAAGTTAAATATGACAAGGGACACTAAAATCCACACAAAATCAAACCTTTATGACGGCTGTAGATGCTCTGTCAGTTGAGGTTTTAGTTTACATTCGAGTTCTATAGGGAACATTTCTGGGTAGCCCACGTGAATTTAATTTGCCGTACCACGAGAATCCCCGAGCACATGGGTCCATCAGCTCCAAGCTTATACCCTATCCAGTTATTATAATAGATCCATGGCCATGATAGGTTAAGGAGCCTCTGCCCCCCAGAATGTCACGCACTTCTGACTCCTGTTTTAATGTTCTGTTTTTTTCTGACTGAGTGATATTAAACTATCATATCCTAAGATACAGAGTTCTCACTCTAAAACTACCAGGAGTGGGGTTCGAACCCACGAGGACAACTGTCCATTGGATCTTAAGTCCAACGCCTTAACCACTCGGCCATCCTGGTGCAAATAACTAACTAACAAGACTGGACTAAAACCAAAAATCACCAATATCTGACCACTGTTTTATATAGGTTTAACTTTAAGGGTTTTTTTTTTACAATCTTAGAGCAGGTCCCTGTAGATTTAAACCCGGAGAGGAGTCCAGGAAACTGAAGAACTCAGAGAAAGAATTCCCAAAGACATCCAAGATCCCACATAGCACATTCCTGACCTTTGCACAGCCGTGTTTAATTAAGACTGAGAGACACAGGGAGAATGTATGAGCCGATGGTAAATTAGAAAAAAGTCTGTTTGTAGGTTATGACTTTAGTAATAAAATGTTGTATATTGGCTGTTGTTCAGTGAGTGACAAGAAATACAACAGAATGGTGATATTTAGTCACTAGATCACTATTAGACCTGTTATAGCCTACAAACAACTGCAGGAGGTAACGAGGAAGAAGAATGGACTAAACCAGGAATAAACCATCACTAAATTGTCCCATAGGTCAGAAAGTACTCAAATTAAAATAAGAAACCCTCGATTCAAGCAATTATTCACTCATGTTTTGCAGTGTAAACAAGGAATGAAACAAGACTTAACCAGGACTAAAAAAGGACTGAATCAGGTCTTAACCAGCACTAAGCAAGGACTAAGACAGATCTTAAACAGGATTAAACCATGACTAAACAAGGACACAAACAGGACTAAACAAGGACTTAACAGGACTTAACCAGTACTAAACCAGGTCTTAACCAGGACTAAACAAGGACTAAACCAGGACTTAAAAGGGACTTAACCAAGACCAAATCACCTTATTTTGAGATTTTTCCATAATTCCATTGGTTTGAATGGGAGAAAAATGACTGCTCTGTGAGTTTTAGTAGTTTCAGAATTCTGGGAGTCATGGTGTGGAACTAGAATCAGTTTATGGGAAGACAAATGGAAATAAGGTGTAACCATTTGGCACTCAGAGATATATGCAGCAGAAAGTAATGCCTGGAATCTCACAAATACACATAAATCTTTCTCAAAAAAAACAATATTCACATCGATATTGAGACCAAACTTGGGTCTAGAACATAGACTGTAAACTAGAACTGGACCAAACCAAGAAATGGACCAAAAACAACACAATATTCCAACGTAGTCAAATAATTATAATCGTTTATTTCTGGACTGGGCCAGCAGATTTATCCAGGACTGAGGAAGCCAACAAAGCATCTCGACACTTTACTACAGCCCCATATCTTCCCACTGCCTCCAAAATTGCCTTCTATAAATACTCCCCCAGACCTGTGCTCCTGTTATATCCAGCTGGGAGAGGTGCACAGGTCAGGGCTTTTGGAGTGAGGGTAATTTCAGAGCAGAGATGGCATGTTCAGACCTAGAAAACGTTTCATCTTTTTTAGCAATTTGTGCTATGGTGCTGTAACCAGAAAGAGATGATTGCAGAGAGGAGAGGAAAATTGACTCTGTACAGGTCTGGGTTAAAGAAATTACATGTAAGAACAGGACATGGTTGACCAAAAACCCCTCACCACAAAGTATATGTGCCTGATCTGAACCTCTCCTTCATCCTCAGCAAAATAACCACGACCCAATATCTCCTGATTTTCACCGGCAGCAACTATCTGTCCATGTTCACTATGTTCTCCACAATATCTCACTCATATAGTTAAGAAACATGGCTATATCTGTGTATTATTGTAGTTTAAACAGCACGTGGCGGAGCGGGTATACTTGCAGACAGAGATTATGACTCTGCAATAGTTCCAGGGCAGTGGTGTTTGTTGATCTGCTGCTGTGTCCACTGTGAACAGAATATCAAACACTGGAGACTGCAGAGGACAGCTCTGCTCCTCCTCCCCGTGCCTTCAGAGCAGGTGGGTTTAAGAGCAAACACTGGGGACCAGCTTATATACTGTATGTGCTATTACCGCATTGTACATGTGCTGTGCACGTGATGAATCATTAATGAACAAAAATCCCTCTGAGCGACAGCTCTGAATCTGGCACCTGTTGCTCTGCCTCAGGATATACTTTGTTATGACTTCACACACATGATGCAGCATGTGGTAGAGACACATGTGGGACACTATGGGACACAGGGACTGTACCTTGTGCAGCTTCCACATGGCGCCCAGCGCCTTGACCTCGTGCGTGCCGTGCTTGCCCTCTTCCAGACACTGGTAGCACACGGGGGTCTTGCACTGCACACAGTACATGCTGAGGTTCTCCAGCTCATGCTCGGTGCAGGTGGAGATCTTGCGGGGGCTGGTGCGGCGGCTGATGCGGCCCTGCGCGGGTGGCACCAGGCGGTGTTTGGCCAGCGGCCCCCGCGGCGGGTGGCAGCGCAGGCGGCACGGGTCACAGTAGAACACGTCGCACTGTTCGCACATGACGCTGGCCTCTGTGGGGGTCTTCTCACACAGCTGGCAGCGCAGAGCCGCTGCTTTGCTCTGCTGGTAGCGGTCCACCACCGCCTCCAGGACGCGGTTCCGCGGGAAGCCGCGCAGCCCGCGTTCGTCCAGCGTCAGGCTGCGGTGACACTGCGGACACGTGATGCAGGCGTTCCGGGGCACGGGCGTCAAGGCTGCGGGCGCGTGTGGCATGAGGTGGTGCGGGGCCGCGGGCGGAAAAACGCGCACTCCGTTCGGAGACTTCTGGCACGGGGTGGTGGGTGCGCTCACGAAGCCACCGTATGAGCCGTAGCCGCTGTCCGCCTCGCTGTACAGACTCATCTTGTCCAAGTCTAGATAGTCATAGTCCGACACCGCGGAGCCGGACGCACGGCTCTGGGGCGACTCTGCGTCCGGCGTTTGCACCAGGATGTTCCGCGCGCACGCGGAGCACAGGTTGTGAGAACATGGCAGGATGATGGGCTCCCGGTAGAAGGAGCCGCACACCGGGCACTTGAGCTCCTCCTCCATCTCCTCCATGGCTCTGCTCTGCAGAGCCGCGGGGTTCGCGCGGGACTGAATCTTGATAGAGGGGTGCAGGCCTGGTCCAGAGCTGGCCAAGTCCCGATCCTGCTGCAGATAAGACCCTGTTAAGTCCTGGTTCAGACCTGCTTTAGTCCCAGCTATACTCCCAGCTCAGTCCTGTTCAGTCAGAGATGTATCTTCCTCTACGTCCCGTGAGTCTGTGAGCCGCTCACCTTGAGCTGGAGTCAGACAGCTCGGCAGCTCATCTGTGATTGGTCAGATCTGTGTGTGGCGCCTTCACTGAGCTGTGATTGGACGAGCCGTGGATTCCCACAAACCATTGGATATGTGAATAATGAGCTTTAAGACACAGCAGCGTCTGACACACGGCTAAAGAGTCTCAATGAAGCGGATTATCACCAAACAATGAACGTCTGGGCCAACGGGACGTATCTGGGACCTGTGCGTGAATGAAACTCCGTATACATTTTCATCCATATATTGTAATGTGCAGTGTATGCAGGATGTGAACCACAAACAACCCATTAATGAAATTCGCGCCTCTATGGCACATGATGTAAACTCCAAAACATTTGTGTTATAAACTATTGTAATGAGCAACTTTTACATTTGCAATTGCTTATTGATAAATAAATCTGACACAAATGAATATTGAACACAACTCCAAATGCTCCCACTAATGTCTGCTGTCGTTGTGTCCTTGGGCAAGGCACTAAACCCAACATTACCTGAAGCTCCTTCTGAATCACCAGGAGGATCAGTGAGGGACTGGTAAAAGCTTTGGGTGCATCTCTGATTGTCACCCCTCCGACCCAGAAATTGACTAACAAAGGGATACAAAATGAAAGAATTAATGAATATGTACTATTTTTCTTTGAAGTTTACAGTTGTTAAGCGCCTTGTGATCCTGTTCTGTGAAAGGCGCCATATAAACTTAACATTCTTGAACAGTGTCCAAAGTTCTTGCAATTTGGCAAGCCCTCTGTTCTCTCCTCTCTCTTCTCTATGTCCTACTCTCTCCTCTCTTTCCTCTAGATCCTACCCTCTCTATCCTACTTAATACTCTCTCTCCTACTTTCTCCTCTCTCTCTCTCCTACTCTCTTCTCTCTCTCTCTCCTCTCTCTCCTACTCTCTCCTCTCTCTCTCTCCTACTCTCTCCTGCTCTCTCTCTCTACTCTCTCCTCTCTTTCTCCTTTCTCTCATCTCTTCTACTCTCTCCTTCTCTATCGTCTCTCTTCTCTCCTCTCTCTCTCCTACTCTCTCCTACTCTCTCCTACTGTCTCCTCCCTCTCTCTCCTCTCCCTCCTGACAATGAACTCAGCTGTGTATTCTGTGTGTACACCTTTGTTCATTGAAACGGCTCGGAGGTGGGTGAGGCAGCCATGGCAACAGGAGTGAGATGACACTTGAACTCATTTAAACAGAATTGAGAAACGCAGAGCTGGAGAGGCCCGGGACCTGATTACATTTGCATATCTGCGGCTGGGACGTGTGAGCGCCTCTATAACATACATGCTTTTGTCTCGGGGACGATAATGGGCCACTTCACTGGAGCACAGGCAGATTCAAGATACTGAGAGGAAACAAGAGGAGGACGGGATGGAGATCAGACCATTAGAACAGCTCTTGTTGTATTGATGATGTTGATCTGATCTGATTATTAACATAAAGTTCAAAGGTCATAGAAAAAGAAGTATGACCTTTTGGTTTAATGTATTAACTAATGTTTATAATAATAATGCAGCGGTTTTATATAGCACTTTTAGACGCTCCACATGTGTCATTATTCATTCACTCCATACACGGTGGTGATAAACTACAACTGTAGCCACAGCTGCCCTGGGGCACACTGACAGAAGCGAGGCAACCAGTATGTGCCATCGGCCCCTCCGACCACCACCAACCATTCACACACACACCAGACACATTCTAGGCAATGGGGGTGAAGTGTCTTGCCTAAGGACACAACGGCAGTTAGGCACTTTACAGCTGCAGCCGCCCCACTGTGGCTGGTGTCCCCAGAGGTTAAGTGTCTTGCCAAGGACACAACGACAGCAGACTGTGGGAGTCGATGGTGAAGGTCGGGCTCGAACCCACAACCCTCTGGCTCAAAGGCCAATGCTCTACCAACTGAGCTACTGTCGCCCAAAGAAGAAGAACCCAAAGAAGCAAATACCAGTCTTCTTATGTTTTGTCTTATTAGGAGAATGCCGCTTTCCACAAATAACACAGATAATTTTTTCTACAGGGTTAAGTGTAGAGAGCATGCTTTGTAAACGCCTGAAAAAGATCTCACCCAAGATTGATTTGACGTCCATGTCCAAGGTAGCAGTTTTGAATTCAATTGCTGATGTAAACAAGATAAACTTTGCCTAAGACAAACTGGACTTGGATGGATGTCTGTCTGGATCAAGTATTAGATCACTAAAAAGAGTAAAAAATTGCTAAAACTTGGAAATGTGTAAATATGTTAATTTGAGGACATTTTGACTGCCTTAAAACATGATTGGCCAATGGGACAAAGCAAAATTATCTTAAAAAAAAAAAGATTCAAGAAATGTCTCAGTTCTAAAAATAAGACTAAAACTAAAAGGCTTTGTCCCATTGGCAAATTTTGTTTTAAAACGTTCAGAATGTGCTCAAATTAAGATGAAAACCACTCGATTCAAGCAATCATTGCCTCATATCTTATACATTTTTGACGTGTTGACACAAACCAGAGGAGTAACACAGGACTTTAGTTGTCTGTTGGAGCCGCAGCAGCACAGAGAGGGACCTGATGACCTGGTCCAGAAGCTGGACCAGGTCATCAAGAAGGACCTGTCTGAAAAAGTTGGTATAAAGATGTGACAGAGGCCGGAATACATTCAAGAAATGTATTCTTGAATGTATACATTCAAGAATCCATTTGAATACAATAAATGTATACATTCAAGAATACAGGGTTAATTAATGTGTACATTCAAGAATGTATGAAAACCAGTGAGAGAGATATAAGTGTGTGTTTATATATGTGTATGTGTGCACGCGTGTGCGTGCGTGCGGGTATGTGCAACCGTATAAGGTGAATTTAGGTATAGGGGTGAGAGCTTACAAGTTTGACCCCTCCCCACTCCTTTTTGAGCTTTGACAGGAGTAAAAAAAGGAGACCCTTAAATGTATATAAGAAAGTATGTTTCTATCATGTTTAATACAATAACCCCAGCTTTGAGTCTGAGATTGAACTAGAAACCAAGACTTACACAGAACCAAAGCAAGTGTACATCCCCAACTATACCAGGATCCTTCTTAAAACTTTTTTTCTAAACCTTAAATGCATTGTTTATCTTCTCATATATTTCCCGAGGATCTGATCAAACTTCATATTGACTCAGACCAAATGTCATGCGGCGTGTTCCTCCCATAGTTCCTCCTCCGGCCCTGATGCCAGCCTGTGTGGAAGCGTATCCGCCACCATGTTTGTTCTCACAACTCTATCCTCCCACTGTTTACTCTGCAGCTACTTCCTGCTGTGACGATGCGCTCAGGACTGGAGAGATCTGTGCAAAAAAATCTAGTGTAAATAACCAAAAGCTAAAAGTATAAAAATGAAGTCTTCGTTTAGATGGAGAACTGGGAAAGTCACTTTCAAACCACAAAAAAATTAACTATGTGTTATAAGTCATCTAGAGTTTTCATATACATGTATTTTTGGCCTCTGTCATATCTTTGGATCGGCCTATGTCAAAGGGAAGCTTTTACTGGAGGTGTATCTCCTGTGGATGGATTAATGAGAGTTTGTTTTTAATTGGTGTTTGCACTGTAACAACAGAGACAATGTCACCACACATCCTCGTCTGAGCACACTGTTGTGTTATTTTGTACAACATGTGACACCTCTTAGCTTTTGCATTATATTATATCCATCCATCTTCTTCCCCTTAATCCATTTCTGGGACGGGGGGTGGCAGTCAGAGCTGCACCCATACACAGAGCACCAGCCCCTCACTGATCCTCCTGCAGGTGGTGAGTCTACAGGAGGATGGCAGCTCTGATCTTTCAGCAGGGGCTTTGGGCAAAGTGGGGTTAAGTGTCTTGCCCAAGGACACAACAACAGCAGATATCAGTGGGAGTCGGTGGAGAAGGTGTCGAGGTGGGAATTGAACCCATGACCTTCAGGCCTAAAGGGCAACGCTCTACCAACTTTGCTACTGTCGCCCCAATGATGTATGAATTATATTATACAAAATAAAAATATATTTAAAAAGTTGTTGATACCTTGTTAGGGCCAATTAGGACCCCTCCAAGCCCCCAAGTTGCCTCAACCTGCCTGCGTGGGTATCTCCTGTCGTAGTAGAGAGAGACCAGAGAGAGAGAGTCCAGAGAGAGACCAGGGAGAGAGACCAGGGAGAGAGACTGTAGAGAGAGACCAGAGAGAGAGAGTCCAGATAGAGAGACCAGAGAGAGAGACCAGAGAGAGACCAGAGAGACCAGAGAGAGAGAGAGAAAGAGACCAGAGAGAGAGAGAGACCAGGGAGAGAGACCAGAGAGAGAGACCAGAGAGAGAGAGACCAGGGAGAGAGAGCAGAGAGAGAGAGCAGAGAGAGAGACCAGAGAGAGAGACCAGGGAGAGAGACCAGGGAGAGAGACCAGGGAGAGAGACTGTAGAGAGAGACCAGAGAGAGAGAGTCCAGATAGAGAGACCAGAGAGAGAGACCAGGGAGAGAGAGTCCAGATAGAGAGAGTCCAGATAGAGAGACCAGAGAGAGAGAGAGACCAGAGAGGGAGACTGTAGAGAGAGAGACCAGGGAGAGAGAGCAGAGAGAGAGACCAGAGAGAGAGACCAGGGAGAGAGACCAGGGAGAGAGACCAGAGAGAGAGACTGTAGAGAGAGAGAGCAGGGAGAGAGAGCAGAGAGAGAGACCAGAGAGAGAGACCAGAGAGAGAGACCAGGGAGAGAGACCAGGGAGAGAGACTGTAGAGAGAGAGTCCAGATAGAGAGACCAGAGAGAGACCAGAGAGAGAGACCAGGGAGAGAGAGCAGAGAGAGAGACCAGAGAGAGACCCTGTTTGGAATTCAAACCCAGAACTGTCTTGCCCAGAAGTAAGAGTGCTCATCTTTGTGATTTGCAAATTGTCACTAATTGTGCTGAGAAAGACTTCAGAGAGTGAGTGAGGAGGGAAAATCCTGGATCTAATCATCTGGAGTGGTGCGTCGAGTGACTCCAATCGTTCTTAATGTTCAGGGAACGGAGTGAGAGGTCTGTCTGCACAACTGAGCACAGCAAAGTGGATTACTGCAGTGGTGACGCAGCAGAGAGGAGAGAGAGAGTATGTGTGTGTGTGTACGTGTGTGTGTGTGTGCGCGTGTATGTTTGTGTATGTGTGCGTTGGAGATGTGTCTCTACATTGGGCTTAGGATGAGGCAAAACCACTCTGCACATAATGGCTCTTCAAAACGCAAATCAACCATTCTAAGTAGATAATTTGTTTTAAAAAGTGAAAATAGAGGGTTTTGGCAACTATTTAAAACATTTTCGGCCCACTGTGGGGAATTTTCAGTGTTGCATCACCGGTTGCAGAACAATTCGAATGAGGAGCAAACAACACAAGATAAATGAGCAACAACTCGATACAAAAATATAATAAAATAAAATCTCTAAATACTATGAATAAAATATGGTGTGTTTACTTGTAAGGAATATCTCACTCCCATTAAGAACAACCAAGTTCAGAAAAAAGGTGTGAAAAGATATGGTGACGGAGTGGGGGGAGTGTGGACTGCATACAGATGGACAACGCTAACCTTCTGGCTCAGTGAGCCCCAAAAGGGACGTGCTCATAGACGAATTTTTGCTCCAACTCACTCACTACAGGAAGTAAAATCCTGTAGCTCAGTAACCGCTAATGTCACACTCATGATTTTTGGCTTAAAGAATCTGTGGTTTAGTTTTCTCTATGATTCTAAAGTTTACATTTTTTAATCTCTGTATTTGCGGGGGAACTCCAGCTTGTCTTAGCAACCGTCTTAGCAAACAGATCCAGCTGCAAGTAGCAAGAAAAGTATAGTAATAACTGTATCCAAAGTTTCTGTGGGGCGGATAGAGAGGAGAGTTGGAGATGGGCATGTTGGGGAACAAACAAATGTCCGTATAAGATTGTTGGCTCCAGCTAGCTTATGTTAAGATCGGCTTCTTGTGTAAGTGGCTAACACTGTGGTGATGTCACACTCGGGACAGTCTGCTCCTGATGTCCGCTCTGTGGTGAGGACTCGCTGGCTTCAGTGCTCATGAGTACGCTCCACAAAACAGACGTGAATTTGGCCCAAGCACACTGGGCCTATTCACGTACTAATGAAACACCAGCATCATTATCATCAGCCGTGAGAGAGAGGGAGGGGAGGGGCAGAGGAGGGCTGGAGAGAGAGGAGAGATGGGGAGAGGAGAGAGAGGAGAGGAGAGAAAAGACAGGAGGAGAGGACAGAGTGGAACAGCAGAGAGTGGAGAGGAGAAAGATGGAGAGGAGAGAGTGGAAAGGAGACGGGAGAGGAGAGACAGGAGGAGAGGAGAGAGTGCAAAGGAGACAGGAGGAGAAGAGAGTTGAGAGACAGGAGGAGAGGAGAGGAGAGAGTGGAAAGGAGACAGGAGGAGAGGAGAGAGTTGAGAGACAGGAGGAGAGGAGAGAGGAGAGGAGAGAGTGGAAAGGAGACAGGAAGAGAGGAGAGTTGAGAGACAGGAGGAGAGGAGAGAGTGGAAAGGAGACAGGAGGAGAGGAGAGAGTTGAGAGACAGGAGGAGAGGAGAGAGGAGAGGAGAGAGTGGAAAGGAGACAGGAGGAGAGGAGAGAGTAGAGAGACAGGAGGAGAGGAGAGAGGAGAGGAGAGAGTGGAAAGGAGACAGGAGGAGAGGAGAGAGTTGAGAGACAGGAGGAGAGGAGAGAGGAGAGGAGAGAGTGGAAAGGAGACAGGAAGAGAGGAGAGTTGAGAGACAGGAGGAGAGGAGAAAGTGGAAAGGAGAGAGGAGAAGAGAGTGGAAAGGAGACAGGAGGAGAGGAGAGGATAGAAGAGGAGAGACAGGAGAAGAGGACTAGAGAGAAACCTACACAGAATGGACCTGTCTGAATGTGGAATTGAATCCAGGACCTTCTTGCTGTGACACACAGGTGCTAACTACTGCCCCACCGTGGTTAGCACCTTTGTTAGGGCCAGAGAGAGGGGAAGAGGAGAGCCTCAAATCAGCCTTACAGACTTAAAACCATTCGGAATATGCTTATTGCAGATTATTTTTAAAACGTGTATCCCATTTCTACCAGCAGAGGGAGGAGTTTCAATGTATTATATTTTCACCCAAGAATGTAAGTAAAAAAACATATTAGTTGACAAAAACAAATCAAACTCGATACCTGGAACTAGATTCAAATTAAAAACATGTTTTCATAATGTGAATTCCGTTGTAATTTTGACTGTTGAAGTTGGAGTGTTTTCTGGATCCACCCCACCCCCCGTGCCCAAACAAGTGCAATGTTTGTGAAGAGAAATGACGCAATATACGCCGGGTGCAAATCCAGACGTGATCGGAACCGTGTTCTGGCGGTGCCCAGGTGTCAGAAGGCCCTCGGGGATCGGGGTTTGGTTCAGGGACCGGTCCGACCAGTTCTGTGCCAGATCCAAGAGCTCAATGGTTTTCAGAGTGGCATCTTGAGACATAATAGTTACTCCACCTTCACAAGACGCCGGAATGCAAACAAGAGGCCGAGGAATGTGGGGAGAAAATCATTCCGAGGTACAGCAGCGAGAGTCGGCAGCAGGAGGACCATGTGAGACTAACTGCTCACCCATGACCTCTGCCTCTGGATGGTCTGCTCTGTTCAAACATGCTCTAGATCAAGGGTCTACAACTGTTCGTTTCATGATTATAGTCTGTGTAATAACTACAGCCAATCATGGAGAACACATACACTGCAAAAAAACAAGATTTGCCAAAAGGACAAAGCCATTTAGTGTTATTTAAAGAACTGTGGCTTTATTTTCTCATTCCAAGGGAGATATTTCTTGTTTCTTTTATCGGATAATTTTGCTCATTGTCCCATTTGCAAATCTTGTTTTAAAGCCAGTAAGAATGTGATTGAAATGAAGGAAAAGGCTCATGTGTAGCAGTGTTCTCCAATACTAACAAACTTGATTTCCAAGTGATAATAAGCGGTTATATAAAAATGCTCCTTTATGGACAATGGTAGGTATTTTTAACATCCAATAATTTGGTTTATAATATCCCAAAGTAAGTTCCTCTGCACTGAATGTAAAGAGTTGACATTTTTGCGTTCACCAATTTTAAGTATTGCTACTTGAGTATCTAGTTTCAAAAGTCAGATTTGATCTCTGATACTTTTGACAACACATGTACACGTACATTTATAAAGGGCTTAAGGAGCACAGGGACTCCTACGGTGACTGATGAGCACAGGGACCGGTCTCCTGCTGGTCCTAGACTCAGAACTAAACATGAGGAGGCAGCTTTTCAGATTTATGCAGCTAAAATCCAGAAGTCTTCCTGAAAATACAAGAGAACATTTTCAAGTCTAGCTTCAAACCTCTCTGCGTTGCTGTGTTTCCTTGTTCTTGACCAGAATGTTAGTTTGGTTTAGTTCCCAGATTTTGGTTATGAACTGATCACAACACATGCCTCCAACACACACACACACACACACACACACATTTCTCAGACGTCCAGACGACCAAAATTACCTCAATTAAGTCTTGAGAATGTCTGGCCCGAACTTTATTTCATTCAACATGGGGACTGTAAAATAAAACAGTCGACTTGTTATACGCGTAAACAGTGCGGCCGCGGTGTGTTGCCGTGGCGACTTGGCAGCGGCGACATCTTGGCGTGCGGCCTGCATACACACGAGCGCGCTTACAAAAACAGCCGCGGGTCTTCAGCCGGCTCAGAGTTCACTTCTCACCACCACAAGCTCTGGCCTGGTGCCGTAAGGAGGACTGAGGAAGAGGGTCTCAACCCTGGGTTCGAAGATCCCAGTCCAGATTAGGGACTAGTTTTGAAAATAAAAAATTAACCACTTAGTAATATTTGGCCTCGCACCAAAGTGTGACATGTCGTGCCATATGAACCAACTCAGACTCTGAGTAGCAAAGGGACTGGCCTCCTGCTGGTGCCCAGAGCGAGGACTAAGCATGAGGAGGCAGATTTTTTTAATCAATTCAGCTAAATTTTTGAACAGTCTTCCTGAAAATGTGAGACAGGCCTCTTCTCTGACAATGTTCAAATCCAGGTTAAAACAGTTCTGTTTAGCTGTGCTGCAACTGAGGGATTTTATGAATTAATGAGTGAGTTCAGCAGTTGAAGATTTTCAACAGCACGATTGTTGTCTCGGCCTTTACAAAGTTCAGATCAGAGAATAAAACAGTGCAGTGCTCCTCATTCCTACTGTTCTGTAACGTGTGATGCAACACTGAAATTTCCTGAATGTGGGACAAATAAAGGATCTCTTATCTTAATTCAAATATCCTGGATCATCACTGTCCTTAGACCCTCCTGTATCGGCAAAGAACGACTCAAAAACACAATGGGAAAATGTGAGAAAACCTTGGGGAGGTAGATCCAGGACTCAGGCTGTAAATCTAGGACTTGGGCTGTAGAATGAGGACTGAGGCTGCAACCAGGTGGGAGGTGGGAGGGGGATGCAGCCCACAACTCAGGGCCGGGGAGAGACCAGTCCACAGGTGCAGAATCAGTCAATTAGAAACTTTTTTGTTGATCATTTTAGGTGCAAACTGTCAGAGCGATTGTGTCCGAGATGCCGATACAAATAAACACACAGGATCTGCTCTAAAAATCAAACTTCTGGGGTGAAAGGAGAGAACGAACAGAATGACTCACAGACATCACTAACTGTAATTTACACGACTGAAGTTAGATAAAAGCACGCAGCCTCCAACTCTGCACCTATTCTTCCCTTATAAGGTCAGTCTGGTGAGAGGGTTGGCCTGGCCGGCTGGCACTGGCACCGCCCAGACAACTGCATTCTCAGCTACTATTGTTTGCCTCAAGTATGTGGAGACGTAATATGCTTTATTCAAGTTCATTTTAGCCTTTTAAATCTGAGCTACTGAACTTGTTTATCTCTCATAATTAATTTGTCCAACGGAAAGTCTTGTATAAGGAACACCGCAAACAACTTTCTGTCTTAGTGTTATTGTAAACCAGGTGTTCTTTTGCATATATGTGTAAGAAAGAGCCTTGCGCGTCGCTGTTTGACTATTATTCACTATTATTGTACAATTTTCCTTATTTACAAAACCTCATCAAGTCGCACAATGCACACGCACAAATTTTAACATTGTAAGAGATTTGTTCTGTGTTTGTATGGTTGTGTTTCTGCAGCTGGACACCTGAATTTCTGCAGCGAGGGATCAATGAAGTATCTATCCATCTATCTCATTTCTAGATTTTGTCAGTGTTTTGTAAAAGGGAACTCCCAGGAAGCTACATTATCTTATAGACAGACAAAAAGCTAACACAAATACAGACTATTTGGTCCTCTCGTTCCTTTTACGGTCTAAAAAAGCGGATCCATTGATGTGACAGAGGTCAAATATACATGCGTGTGAAATAGGAACTGCTTGGATAGAGTGTGAGATGCGATAGTAGTGTCAAGGACTGTACTTTCAAAATGAGATAGATTATTAAGTGTTTTGCCAAGCCCTAACCCCCCAAAAAAGAAGAAAGTGTAACCAGAAGATAGAGAAAGTTGAGGGCTGCTACAAGAATGTGTGGTATTTGACAATGTGAGAGCGAGAAAATGAGAGGCTGCTCAATAACAGCTTTAGGACAGTCCAGGAGAAAGACACGGTCTGCGGGAAACACACGCCGCTGCATCCAATTTATTTGCATTTTTAAGAAAAACCTCTAACCACCTGAACTCACGACTGCTGGAGTGAGAGACCAAAGATATCAAACCTGTTGGTTGTAGGTCTGAGCGCTGCTGCAGCTGTCAAAAGCCATGCATGCACTGTAAAACACAGTTGCAGAGGACACTGAGGAGCAGGAGAAGGACTGAGGGCTGCAGGGAGACCAGAGAGAGACCAGAGAGAGACCAGAGAGAGACCAGAGAGAGACCAGAGAGAGACCAGAGAGACCGCGGTGGTCCTCTGAACAAATCATTGGGGCACATACAAGCTACACAAGTCTTCTTCAGAAAAAAAAGTAACTCATCTCTCTAACCTTTCTCTCTCTCTAGGCAAAAACAGCTCAGCTGGTGTTAAAGCGAGTGACCACTGTATATGCCATTGAGAGCGGGAGCGTGTAGACTTCTGATCAGGTTCCGAAGTGTCTGACATTACCATCATTTGAACACAGGAAACATCTTTATATGACAACAATGGCTTCACACAATCACTAAAAATGAGTGCAGATAAATGTTGCGTTATCGTTCATAAACTATTTATATTGCGCGGTTCACAGACCCAAGGTCACACGCAAGAGTTTTAAAATGAGATGATAAAAACAAGACAGAACCCAATATTGTACAGTCTCTTTAATTGAGAATGTGAAGAACATAATAATATTGCATCAGTTTTGAAAAGCGCTTTTTTGAAAGACACAACATCATTCCCTCCATAAACAGTGGTGATAAACTACAGTAGCCACAGTAGCCTTGGGGCACACTGACAGAAGCGAGTAAACCAGTATGTGCCATCAGCCTCTCTGACCATCACCAACCATTCACACACACACACCAGACTCATTCCAATGTGAGTGAAGTGTCTTGCCTAAGGACACAACAACACTATGGCACATTACAGCCGCCCCACTGTGGCACATGGTGTTCACAGAGGTCTCCCATCACAGTACTAACCATGCCATGCCCTGCTTAGCTTCAGAGGTCTGATGGGATCTGGCTTTCACCTGCAGGTGGCGGTCAGTTATGCAGGTCTGAGGTTTTACAGCCTTTGAGATTCCAA